GAAAAAAAAATATTCACTTTAACTTCATACTTTCAAATTTTTTATACATAGGCTGTCTTCCCCCAAAACATTTATACTATCATTCTTGGAAACACTGTTCCAAAGCATACTGGCTTGGTAACAGCTATTCTACATTATACGCATTACATGTATCAATTAAAATTATTTAGTATCCTCCTTGGGTTAGAAATTTCTTGAAGCAGAGACTATAGTCACACATTTCTGTGTCATTCCAATTCCAGTTGTTAATATTTACATCAGGTAAGAACTATACTTTGTTTAAATGAACAAAACATTTAAAAGTCTCTGGAACCTTGGATTCTAACTAAAAATTTTTATTTAGCTGTATTTTCATTTTAAAATAGCAAGATGTCAGTTATCCTTTATATAAGAGATGGATCTCTACCATATCACTTCATTAAGGACTCTTGGCATTCTGAAAATAAAGCCTCAGTAGGCCTAGTGACTATCTTAACATACATACTTTAAAAGAGGAAACGTATGAAAGAATGGGAGACAGAGAATGCGATCAAAGGTTTGCCTGCATGGTGCTATAAGTGTTACAAATCTGTTTCCCTTCAGATGGTAGGGATCTCTGCCTAATATAACCTGAAACACATGGTATATGTTTGATACCTATTTGTGAAATGAACCAGTGAACAATTGTAACCTGCTCCATGAATAAAAATGCCTTTTTGCAGTTCTTATTTTTTTTTTTTTTTTGAGACAGAGTCTCACTTTGTTGGCTGGATTAGAGTGCTGTGGTGTCAGCCTAGCTCACAGCAACTTCAAACTCCTGGGCTCAAGCAATCCTCCTGCCTCAGCCTCCTGAGTAGCTGGCACCACCACATGCACCACCACACCCAGTTAATATTTCTGTTTTTTGTAGAGATGGGGTCTCTCTCTTGCTCAGGCTGGTCTCGAATTCCTAGGCTCAAGCAATCCTCCCACCTCGGCTTCCCAGAGTGCTAGGATTACAGGCATGAGCCACTGTGCCCGGCCCATTAACGTTTGAGTTGTTTTCTTCCCAGGAACGGCAGAACCTCCTTGCAGCCACAGGATAACTACAAGGTCTTGTTCCACCTGTCTGTCCAGAGAAAACGAGGTAAGCGACATCCCACCACAGATCTTGCTCAGGTATCCATTTAGCTACTACTCCCAGCATCCTACCCAAGCACAAGACCGAAAGAATGACTAATATTAACCCTGGCTCATTATACTACTAAAATCTCCACCTCAGGAGGGACTTATCTGCCATTTTTTGATCATGTGATGTATGTGCTGGTATGATTTCTCACTGGGCTGGCTTGTCTTGCACTCTGCCCAAAACATGTAATGATGCTCACTCACTTCATGCATTATTCATTTTACCTCTACAAAAACCCGTGACCCTGTCAGTTGGGGAGGCAGATTTGAGGCAGTCCACCCCTCTCACCTTTCTTCCTTGACAATCTTCACTGTCTCAGTAATTGGCTTTCCATCTGCTAAGTAAATGAAGGGAACCCTCTTTGCAGGTTTGTTAACACTATTATGGTTTTATAATTCTCCCTACTGCTGTTACAAAAGAGAGGAATGTCCTTTCTTGGATTACCACGTATCACTGTCAAACAACTAAATGTAGTTTTATATAAACCATTTGATGAATAAGACAAGCCCTTAGGAGAACAGAGATACTATCTGCAGAGCTCCAGAAGGACATGCTAAATTTTTTAGCCTAGATCTTTGGCTTGAGAATTTTCCAAGGATCTAAAGTGAAAGTGGGAAGAGATAAGGCAAACTATCCCACAGCTGTGGGTGGCCAGAGACTGTTAGTTTTATACCCCAGGACGATACATGTACATTCAAAAGAAGAGATGTTGAAGGGAAGAGTAGATATCCATTTCTCATTTAAACTGGTTTCCTGGGTTAGACACATCCAAATTGGGATGCACACACATATTGGTGAAATCCTCATCTACCATTCCCAGAGGAGCTGCTCAATTGGCTGGAGCTGGTTTCCTTGTACATACTGTCATTAGTGTTTAGTTTGAGAAGAGGTATATACTGTGAACCTTACCACTTAAAAATGGAGAAAATAAGAAAGCAAAACTATTTTAAGATAAAAGTAAGAAAGAAGATCAGAATTTATTTATAAACCAAAGGCT